TCGTAAAATAATATGGGTATTCATGCACTTGTTGTAAATGCTTAAATATGCTGTCATGCTAAGAAGTCAGTACAAATTTTGAATGAATGGTAAATAACCTGTTTATGCTAAAGTGTTATTAGTTATAGTAAGGTTAAGCTTGTACTGTAAATAAAGTTTTTGAGTTCTTAATTGATCTAAAACATTTTTATTTATTTTTAAAATGCCAAAGTGCAGTAAAAAAGACTGATTTGCTAGATTATTAATTTTTTTTATTTTTTATTTCTTTATGACATTTACAACTGTATTACATAAATACATCAAGTAAATTTGGACATAATTGATATAATGACATGAATACACTTGCTGAGTAACTACCCAATGGTAGCACTCTAATGATATGACTACATTAGGAGATCACGGGGCCATCTTCTTTTCAGACGCCTCGGAGGGTTATCAGGAATTGAAGAGGAAGCAAGGCTAGAAACGAGAGGGTTGGGATGATTCTGAAGTTTATTATGGAAGGATAGGTATCTGGATTGGGCCAGATCTGAAACATAAGGAACATTAAGATCTTTATGGATAATTTTATTAGTGACAAAGTAAGGAGCATTGAGGATTTTACGAAGGATTTCGGATTGTAAGGATTGGATGCGAGAGGAATTCGATGGTTTAGTGGACCCCATAGCTCAACTCCATAAGTCCAAATAGGTCTTATTATAGTCAAGTATATGAGTCTTTTGTAATTAATGGGAAGTTTAGAGCGTTTGTCTAGTAAGTGCTGAAGTAATCGGAAACGTCGAGCGGTTTCTTGTCGTTTTAGTCTAGTATGAGGATTCCAAGTTAGTCGTTTGTCCAGGTGGAGTCCTAGGTATCGGATTTGCTCAACAGGGAAGATTATTAATTTAAAATGCTTTCTAAGAAAGAATGAATGAAGATTCATATGATTAATAAGTCAAAGAACTTGATGAATACATATATGACTTGTTGTCTTTACATTCCATTTCTGTGGATATTGCACACAAAAAAAAGAACAAAGAATCAACCACATCAAAACCTTACAATAAACTACTCCGTGCGTTTACGAAGTTAGCATCAATTTATAGGACAATAGACTGCGTTGAAATCTTTGAGTGCTAGCGGCCATATTTAACACACTGGTGCACTGGTTACATGATACCTCTAATTTAATTTTAAAAAACTCGAGAAAAAAGGTGGCCTATTAAAATAATGGTCGGTTTGGCTTCAGCGCCAAATATTTTTCCGACTGTCAAATGTTCCCCTTGATTTTTTAAGTTATATTATCTAACAATTCAAGTGTACAGACCACTTTTTATCGAATTATTAACATCCGCCTGAAACTTCGTAAATATTTTCATCTCGTCGTTACCTACAACTATTTTATTTTAGAAAACTTTTGGAATTGGGGCGTTTTCAATCTGGAGGTAGGCAAACTTTGTCTATTTAATTACGTACTAACAACTCGTAAATGCACATTTGATTCCTACTTCGATCGTAAGATAATTTGATAACAAAATTGAGAGAAAATGTGATCTCCAAACGTATTTTCAAAGTAACGAGGTTACATAGGACAAACGGCACAATATTTTTGTAGGCCTCCTTTTTTATCGATTTTGTGATCAAATGATCTTACGATCCAAGTAGAAAGCAATGAGTATTTACGAGTTTTTAGTAACTAATAGACAAAGTTTGCCCTCCTCCAGATTGAAACCGCCCCAATTCCAAGAATTTTCTAAAATAAAATAGTTGTAGGTTATGATGTAATGAAACTACTTACGAAGTTTCAGGCGGATGTTAATAAATCGATAAAAACTAGTCTGTAACACGGACTACGAAAGTAAATCGGTATTCATCTGTTTTTATTATCTTTAATTACTAATTAATTGAACGAGAAAATGACCTGAGAGAATTTTCGTAAATAAAATAGTTGTTGTTTACGATAAGAATAATCAATTATAATTTGATTAAATGGGGTCTGTACCGCGGAATATATTTTTTACACTGAGATCAGTTGTAAAATTAACCTTACTAGATTATTAATATTTGCAACGGCTAACTATATATTAAGTAATAATGTAAAAAAATGTATTTTTTATCATAATTTATTTGTTTTTATTTGAAAACATTATTTATTATCTTATATACATAATATATGCTATATGTATATATTTTTTTCACACCATTTTTCATTTCACAACACGGTTTATGTATATATTTCGGTGTATGTGTATCTATATTTCAACATAAATTGAAATTTTCTTTTATTCATGGGAGATTTGTTGCTCATTTGTCGGAATACCATATTTTGTATTTTCTTTTTTTTGCCTTTTTTTTTTGGCTTCTTTAATATATTTATTTTGATTATTATATTCTTTAAGCTATGCAGCGATTATTTTGTTTCATAGTATTTTTAATTTCTTATTTGTAACATATGTATAATTGTAGTATTTTATAAATAGTCTCACTGGTTTGATATGTATGTAGTTTGCTTACGTAAACTTTTTATCTCGCTACTTTTGAATGTAACAAGTTTTCTGATCAGATGTTATTCCTTTTTTTTCTGTAATATTCTGTAATTCTTAACGAACTTCGTCCTAGAATAAAGTTATTTTCTATTTTTATTTCTGTTTCTACCAAGTATTTTAATCAAATACTAACCTTTTTTTTAGAACCAAATAATTTAATTACTACTTCAGTTCATGTCAAACGGCTAACTGAAGTAGTGATTGGATTCCCAATAGCGATTTAATTTGAGTAAAATACTTAGTACTCGGATCACAGAGTTTCATTTGCACATAGTGTAAAAACCTAATACTTTATTTTTTAAATTAATTCTTATTGCAAAATAAGATCTGTAATTCTATTCTCAGCTTCTTTTTTGAACTTAAAAGTTATAGCATTTGATTTTGGTTTGACAATATTTCCCTGAATAATCTCAATGTTTGAAAACACGCTTACGTAAAAGAGTCACCATAATGCATCAGTGTAGTCAAAATAAACACAGTAAAAAGAGAGAAAAAAAAGCTACTAAACAACAAAAAATTACACTAGCTCTATCTATAGTCAAGGCTCTTCCCAAAGAGGTAGAAAAATAAACTAATATTTCATTCTTTACGATAAACTGTTGTAAGTTACCTCTATGTAAACTTTCTTAACTTTATTATGCAACGAAGATATCCTAGATAAAGAAACGTTTCCGATTATCTGATTATATAATATAAACAACAACATGTTAAAATGACTTTTTGTTTTAAACAATAAAAATCAGAGTTGTTATGTCAATACCTAGAAAAAAAATTAAGCGATAAATTATTTTAAATTATCTGAAAATTTACTACAGAAGGTATATTATCAATAACCTATAAATGAAATGTTTAGTAAGGAAAAGGATTTGGATCTTTGGTAAAATTCTGAATTTAAGTCCAAAAAGTCTAGCGGAACTTTGGTATGAATTCTGTTGGTATGTTTGTTAAGAAAGATGTATGTTTGCAATATTACAGCAACTATTTCATTAAAGACAACTTGCCAATAACGGAATTTTGTACAATCGGTTTTATATCGCTATATATTACACACTTTTCTCGAAAATGACTCAAACGCTTTTGATTAAACTCGATATATCGATGCACAATTAAATGATGATTAATATCGGATATGTCATATCCTCGTTGAAATAATCTCAAATAGTAGGGCTCAAATATCGAATCTCCAATGCAGCTACCTCTAAAGAACTTTAAATATCGATTAATTTAATTAATTAACAGTCTGTTATAGTTATTAGTAGTAAAAATTGGCTAAATGGAAACTATGAAAGATTTTTATAATCAACCAAAGAAGAAACATTTTTCCAGATTAATAATTAATTTACAGTTATACGAGTTGTAATATATATATATATATTTAAATAAGTCCCTTCTCATAGATCTGCCTCATTCCAACACTCCTTTGTAGCCCTCTGACAATTTCAGGAATTCCCTCTCTGTCAAAATTCGGCATGCTCCCTCCGTATCCACATTCAAAAACCTCCTATTCCAAAAACAGTCAGATACCAGCAAACTATTAACATTATATACTTATTGGATAGCTACCAAATAATCATACGATACTAATTTGTAATTAGTACATGTATTTCCCACTTTCGACGCCACTCAATACATCTATTTTTTTTTTTATTCAATTATAACTAACTTTTATATATATATATATATATATATATATATATATATATATATATATATATATATATAAGTTAGTTAAAATTGAATAGAAAAAAAAAAAAAAATATATATATATATATATATATATATATATATATATATATATATATATATATATATATATACAAGTAAAGTTTTTGTATGAAATGAACTTATTCTATTTTGTCTCTTTTTCGTTTTTCATTTCTCAAAGTGTATGTTTATGCTGTTCAACTATTATATATAATTTTGCTCATAGTTTTAAATGATCTATTCATAGTTTTAAGTGTTTTGTTCATAGTTTTAAGTGGTTTGTACATAGTTTTATCTGTATTGTATATATCTTGTTTACTTAAGGTTTTCTTTACTTTTTAGTTTATTTTATTAATTTTATTTATTGTTTCAAACTTTTAGGCCCGAATTATTTTTTTCTTTTTGTACAATTTTGTTATTCTAAAGGGACTTAGTCCCAGAATAAAGTTTTTTTTTTTTCTATCTATCCATCTATTATATTTGGACACCATTTTGGGTTCTTTTCTTTAAGTCCTTTATATTTGTTTTTATTATTCCGTTGTTTTATTATTTTATTAATATTGAATAGTATAATTTATATATATAATATATATAAACATGCAAAGATTATGTTACTTTAGTTGAGAAGATATTACAACTTTATGTAATTACCTTATGAAACAGTTGAAGTAAAATAACAAAACTAAACAATTGTTGATACTAATCAATTATTTAAATATTGTATCTTCATGCTGCTCCTTGCTTTCCCAAGGCTGTCTGCTCCCACAATGCATGTTTCTCTGTTGCATAAATTGTTCGCGTATTATTCTCTCAGCTTCTTATATTTTACCGCAATTATTTCTCGATAAAAATTGCATTGTCTATAAATACAAATCATATTGTAGCTATATGCCAGTTATAATATGTATTCAAACCCGGTTTGGTATCTATGATAAATATTTGTTTATGAAAAAACAAAGTAAATATTCATTTTTAGCATTAAAAAAACCTTAAATATGTTTTTTTTTCTAATAACTAAATTAAAAAGATAAGAACTGGCTGTACGATATGACCCACTCTCAAATGTTCTGGACTACAGATCCTCACACTTACAAAACAAGTGGCTGATCTACACCATATTGAGACCAATTTGGACATTCCGAGCAGAACTTTGGAGTCCGGCAACACAAATAAACATAAATAAAATACAAACAACACAATCAAAAATACTACGAAAAAATATCAACGTACCTTGATCAACAGTAAAATCCTATATCAATAGATACGCATTAGACCTTTCTATTTCCTGCTCCCAGTTACCTGATCGACCCAGATTAAAAAGAAAATGGCCAAGGGACTTACTCATACAATAATATAATGGCCATTTTCATTAGTCCCTACTTTGTTGTCTTTATTATTTACTTATAGTTCTCTGTTACTATTATTAATCTACCTACTTTATTTTACGATAAGTTCATTCTACCTACATTTTTTAGACTACATCTTTCACCTACATATATATTATATATCCATACATATTTTTATCTTGTTTTTTCTCAGCCCTGATGAAGGCCTGAACTATGGGCCGACACGTAGGTAAAACTAAAATAAATATACTTAAGTATTTTTGAATTTTGATCACCCCAACCATTCTTCTCTTCAGATATATAAATTTATTTTTAACTATTAAATATTATATTTTCTCGTTTAACAATAATTATGATGAATTTTCAGACACAATAAGAACTACTGCCATTTATTTATTTATTTATTTTTTTGCCCTTTGCCCTCCCAATCGAAATGGAAAGTCATCACCCATTCTGGTTAATTTACAGGTCTTACGTCCATTTATTAGAACTGGCTCTATCACTGTGCACCCTTGATTTGAGATTTATTGAAATTTTTACGAATTTCAATACCTTTGATGCAGATTAGAAAGATCTGTTTGCGCTGTTATACGCTGGTCTATTTCCAACCGTTAGTCATTCATTTAGTATTGAATATTCATTTTATTGTAGAGCCGAGGTATTTGAATTTCTTCACTCTCGGAAACGTTTAGCCTTCTACAATAAGATGCTGTTATTGGGGTGGAATTTTCGCCTCATTGTCATATATTTTGTTTTGTCTTCATTCACTTATCAGAGTCTTAACAAGTTTCTCAATGCCCTTTTGATTGTCTCTAAGGGCAGCTATATCATCAGGTGATTGCATTTGGGTTTTATATTATATTACATGGATCAAGAGTTTTATGAATTATTTCGACGTGGACCCCTCCATTTTCGTATGATGTTTTTATCATCTTCTCCAGCGATAAGTTTAACAATATCGGTATATGTTGATGATAGCTTTGTCTTCTGAAGTGACAACTTCTTTAGGTACGTTTTGTACTTTTTTTTTTTTTTGTAGAGTGAATTAGATTGAGCCGTCAGATCTTCAATGTGCAACGCTCGGATAAAGTCGGCTGGACTCGACTAATTGAAGTGTTTTGAAAGCGAGAGAAATGTTCAGAATTTCATCCTCTTTGTAATGAGCTATTATACAAAATTGTATATTAACGCGACGCCGTGTTAGATAGACGAAAAGGAAAAAAATATTTTCGAAAACCAAATTATAACGAGTTTTATTGAAGATATGAATCTATATATCTTAGAAACTAAAAGTTGGACCTGAATACTGTGAGCAAGGGAATTGTTCAGCATTTCATCTTCTTTATAATGGGATATTATTCAATATTTTATATTAACGCGACGCCATTTTCAAGAGGAAAAAATGGGGAAAATAGTGTCGAAAATCAAATTATAACGAGTTTTATTGAATATATGGATTAAAATATCTCAAAAACAAAAAACAAGAAAATCGGACTTGCATCTTGTTAGAGATTGAAATGTTCATCATTTCATCCTCTTTGTAATGAGCTATTATTGAAAAATTTATCTTAACGCGACGCCGTGTTCAAGAGAAAAAAAGGGGAAAAATGCTGTCGAAAACCAAATGATAACGAAATTGAAGATATGAATCAATATATCTTAGGAACTAAAAGTTGGACCTGCATATTTTGAAAGCGAGGGAAATGTCCATCATTTCATCTTCTTTATAATGGGGTATTATTCAATGTAGTATCTTAAAGCGACGCAGTGGAGTCGATTAATTGAGATGTTTTTGCGTATGGATAAAAATATCTCAAAAACTAAAAATTGAGCCTGCATATTGTTACCAAGTGAAATGTTCATCATTTCATCCTATTTGTAATGAGATATTATTCAAAATTATATCTTAAAGCTACGCCGTGTTCGAGAGGAAAAAAGGGAGAAAATATTGTCGAAAACCAACTGATAACGAGTTTTATTGAGGATCTGAATACTGTAAGTGAATTAAATTTTCAGCATTTCGTCCTCTTTGTAATGAGCTGTTTTTTGTAAATTACATTCCATATTATTAATCTCGCATTGTTGATCTTTTTACTTCTATCTTGTGGTATAAAGCACAGACCTTTTTTAATTATTAATTACTGGTGCTGCAGATCTCTTGTCCACTTTCTTTTTAATCTAATATGATATAACCGATTGTTTATTTTCGATACTATCGAGTTACAAATATTACGCGAAGTCTGGATCCAAAGACTAGGACAGCGAGAGGAATTCCCTGTATGCTACCGGAGCAATCTTGCTCTAGAGTTGACAAGTCGATTTGCATATTACCACACCGGTCCCACCTCAGCCCATCAACCTACTCCGATCAATTCTTTATTTAAAATATAACATTTTTGTTATTTTATTGGCTTCAAGATTTAGGTTTTGTAGTCGTTAAATCGTAGATTGACAAGATTTTATCAATGTTTTTTTATACAGAAATGTGTTGTCACTAGGAATGGCATAAAGACATCGATAATTTCGAAACAACCACTGAAGTTTGATGATATATATATGTAAGTTTGCTACAGTGCACTATAACAATGTTGCAACCTTCAGTGTTATCATTTGTGTTATCTAATGACATATGAATATAGTTATTATTGATTTGAACTAGTGGAACTACGTCTAATTTAATTCTTTTTATAATGAATAATATCTCTTTAAAAAAATCTTACAAATTAAATTACAAGTTTTCAACTGTTAAGGAATGGATGTACTTTATGTTCAAGTTGTTAAGAAAACTAAGAATGAATTTGTGAGCCAATCCATTTTCATTGATAAGAATTACTTGGTATTTGTTACCAGAAGAATTTTAAGATTCGTAGTTCCACACGATTTGCACCATCTTACTTACTGTTAGGGACGAAACAAGGTATTTCACATCTTATCGAAGAAAATCCTTCTTTCCTTGAAGAAGATCGTAAAATAGCTCTTCAGGATTCATTAAGAAGTATTCAAGTTAATAAGAAGGGTGTCGATGAGAATCGACGCCATCATAATTTTAACGTTGGAGATTTGGTGTATATCGAAAATGATAACAAAATTAATCGCAACAAACTCGACACCATACGAATTGGACAATTTTCAATAGTCCGCCAGGGTTATCATTTGTGCTATCTAATGACATATGATTTGTACTAGCGAAACTACGTGTAATTTAATTCTTTTTATAATGAATAAAACCTCGTTAAAACAATCTTGCATGTATATATATATATATATATATATATATATATATATATATATATATATATATATATATATAACTTACGTCGGTTCGAACTCGGAAAGATAAAAAAAAGAAAGAAAGAAGAGGTTTGAAATGAAACGCGTGGTTGCTCAAATAAGACTGACTTTATTCTCTCCGTAATGCTATATATATAGCATTACGGTTTGTTTACAACTATTGTCTAGGATTAACTCTCATATAAACTTACATCTAACCATAACTCCCCCCCGCCAGTTTATGAACACTTCTCATAAACTAACGCAGGGTTAGTGATATAATACATAACAAAACATAATACATAACAAAACAAAACAAAATAATCTTCGTAACAAAACAAAATAATCTTCCTTGGCGTTCCCATACAGCCATAGCACAGAACAAATAAAATTAAACATTTTCCTGCAATAAAAGATTTACAACCGAAACAAACCTTCTACCGTCCTTCCATAGCTTGTAGGAGACAGAAAAGAGGATATACCACTATTTACGACTGACCCGGTTCTATCGGGAGTTTCAACTGTTCTATGTGAACAGTCCTTCGTTTCCTAGGATCGTTCAGACTCTGAATGGTACAAAGATTGTGTTCGCGAAGTACAATCACTTTGAATGGTCCGTCGTAGCGTGCTAGTTCTTTCCCCCTATTAGAACCTACCCTACGATAGACTGTCATCCCTATCTTCAAGTCCCCCATTCTGTCCTTGAGGTTCAGATTGGCCTTCTCCACCCTTTTCCGTTTTTCCCGCTCTATTTTCCCTCTCGTTTTTTCCCATACTTTCTTTATCTCTGCCCTGTTGCAAGTGATCCGTTGAGCTTGTGCTTCATCCGCGAGTGTTTCCATCCAATCCCGTCGCCGTATATTCACTCCAAACAATACCTCGACCGGAGAAAACCCTGTAACGGAGTGGATCGAATGGTTATAGGCCGCAACTGCTCTTTTCATAGCTACATCCCCTTCCAATCCCTGCTCCCCTTGATAAATACGTAGGTGGTCGCTTAACGTGCTGTGCAACCTCTCGATATTTCCTCTGCCCTTTGTATGTCCCGGAGTATTAAAATGCCAATCTATATCCAATCGTTTAACCTCCTCCCGTACGGTACTGTTGTCGAACTCCCTCCCTCCGTCCGACGTTATGCGATCAGGCACTCCGTAGAACTGGGCCCACGTTTGTAGAGCCCCCACAACCGCCTCCGACAACTTATCTCGTACTTGGTGTGTCATTGCTACCTTGCTAAAGAGGTCGATCATTGTAACCCACTTAAACCCCCTCCACGTAAATGTATCAATTTGCACATCTTTCAATGGCATGTCTCCCGTAGGGGTTTCCTCCTGCAATCCTTGAGGTGGCCGTCTATCGTATTTAGTACGCGCGCACACTGCGCATCTCCCAATGATTTCAGCAATTGTCTTCCTCATGCCATCCCAAAAATATCTTCTGCGCAACGCTTGAAACGTTTCCTGTCCCCCCCTATGGTTGGTCTTGCCCTGGTGATGTGCCAGCGTTACTTCCTTTTGCTGCTCCTTGTCCATTAATGTTTCAACTAGGTATCTGCATCTAATGAACGACCTGTCAATGCCTATCTTCTCTGCTCTCCAGAGTTTTTTGATCTTCTCCCAGACGGTCGCATTGCCCACATACAAATGGTGAGTTTTCCCCGACTCTGAAGCGTCGTGCAAAGCCTTACAGATCTCTTCTTCTTTCACCCCTGGTTGGGACCAAATGGTGTTAATCCTCCTCTTGCCGTACTTACTGAAGTCGATCTTCATGAGCCCCGACGTCCTGGTCTTCCAAATGACCTGTCGTCTCTTATCGTTGACGATCTCCTCACATTCCTCCATATCTGTAGGCCTCTCGTCCACCGAGCTCTCTTCTCCTCTCGACTCTTCTGCTCCCACGTCCCCAGGTTCCCCTTCACCTTCCGGTGTCCACGTTCTTAAAAACTGCCGCACGTCCCTTGACGACTCCCCTTCTTCCTCCTCGATGGCATTTATCATGATGGCTCTGGACAACCAGTCCGCCACCACATTTTCCTTACCCGGTTTGTACATGACCTCCATATTGTACTGGCTTAGAAATTGCTTCCACCGGGTGACCCTTGCTGACGATTCCTTCAGATTACCGACCCATTGCAGCGGCCTGTGATCGGTATGGACTTTAAACTTTCTGCCAAAAATATATGGCCTAAAATGCCCTACTGCCCATACTATGCCCAGGAGTTCCCTCTCCAGGGCGCTATACCGCGTTTCCGCGTCTGTAAGCCGCCGACTTGCATATGCTACCGGTTGTTCCCCATTACTTCCTTCTTGAGCAAGTACCGCCCCCAACGCATACTCACTCGCATCCGTGGTAATGACAAATGTCTTCGTAAAATCGGGAAAAGCGAGTACCGGCTTCTCTTGTAACCGCGCCATGCACTTTCTTACGTTATCCTCTATTGCTGGCGTTATTGCAATCTTCCGGCCTTTCTTCAAAAGGTTATTAAGAGGTGCTAAATACTCCGCCATTTCCGGCACGAACCGACGGTAATAGTTTAGTGTTCCTAATAACCTGCGGATACCTTTTACATCCCTGGGCATCGCCATATTTCGTATTGCCTCAACCTTCTGTTTATCGGGCCTGATCCCCTCCTTCGAAATGGAATGTCCCAAAAAGGTTATCTGGTCCTGTCCCAAAATCGACTTTTCCGCTGATAATTTCAACCCAAATTGCCGTAACCTATCGAATACGCGCCCTAAATGATCAACATGCTGCTCTTCATCCTTGCTAAAGACCAACAGATCGTCCATGTACACTTGACAGAATTCTTCGTCTAATCCTCTCAAGAATTCGTCCATAAATCTCTGGAAGGTTATGGGAGCGTTCTTTAAACCAAATGGCATCCGAGTAAACTCGTAATGCCCCCTCTCGAAAGAAAACGCCGTTTTGTGTTGATCCCTGGGGTTCATACGAATTTGGTGGTAGCCTGCCTTTAAATCCAAAGTACTAAAAATGGTTGCCCCACTAAGCCTGTCAATAATATCCTCAAATCGCGGAAGCGGATACTTCTCGTCTAGGGTGTTGTCATTGAGCTTCCTGAAGTCTACCACCACCCTGTACTTCTGCTCTCCCGACGACGTCTTTTTCTTCACCGCCCACAGAGGACTATTGTACGGTGACGTGCTGTCCACGATGATGCCCTGCTTCTTCAGGCTCTCGAGTTCCTCCTTGATATGGCGACGTAAAGCCTGCGGGTAACGCCGCTCCTTCACGTACGTCACCTTTTCCTGTTTTAACGGAATCTCATGTGCTGTCCTCCCCGTTGCGCTCAACACCTCCCCCTCTTTAAAAAAAATATCCGCGTATTCCCTCTTTATCCTTTGGGCCCAATGTTCCGCTTGTTCTATTGCCCCAATGTTCCCTTTTCCTCCCACTCTCCCTTTCTTACACCGGTACCTCTTCCCTCCCATTCGCACCCTCCAACCCGTTCCCCTGTAATCTATTCTCGGTCTCACCTTACTCAATAGGTCACATCCAATTATACCCCCGTATTCCCGCGGCATATTCTCTACTACATGAACCCTCAACTTCCCACTTCCTGGGATCCATCTGTCTAAATCCAACTCTACTTCCCCTTCTATCCTACATGGACCACCCAAAGTAATCAACCTACACGTACATTTTTTTATTCTCGGTATCCTCTCTCCTTTACACAACTCCTCCAACATCTGCCTAGATACTATTGTATTAGAACTTCCCGTATCCACCAGACACTTTCCTTTCCCCACGACACTTATAATTGGCAAACCAACGCACTCACCTGCAATATTATTCACTACCGCGTGGCTGCCTCTCCTCTGCTCCTCTCCTCATTCGTCTGATCTTCCTCTCCTGTCCGCGACTGCTCCCCCTTCTCCACTCTTTCTGCTAACTCTGCCTCCTCGAGCTGCTCTCACCACCGGCTCCTCCTCCTCGGTTTCAGATGTTCCCGACGAATTGTCCGACTCCGATGCCGCTCCTCTCTTCCTCCACAATCTCTGGGCGTTCACCTCCATTGGCTCATCTCGGCCCACTTCCCCCCGTCTACTCATATACGGGCATTGTCTCGCAATATGCCCCTCAGTTCCGCATTCGAAACATCGGGTTCGCGGGCAATTCGCCACTAGGTGACCTATCTTTCCGCACCCGTGGCATCTCCTGTCCTCCTTTGTCCATTTCCTTCTCTCCTTCCCTGGCTTTTTCTCCCTTACCGCCGTTCTTTCTCTTGCGCTAACTTCTCCTCCTCTTTTCTTCCAGCCTTCCTGTCTCGTTCTAAATCTACCGGGTTCCGCTCTCCTGTACGATACTCGGTTCCACCCGTTCTCATTCTCCTCTTCTCCCCTGGCTGCTTCTTCCTCCCGCGCGCTTGCATCAATCATTTCCTGGGCACACTCTACAAAACCCTTGTCTCTAGGTAGTCCATCCTTCTTCCCCGTGTCTCTACCCAGTTGTACTTTAAGGATGGTTGCCAGGAACGCCATTCTCGCTCCCGTTTCCACTGCATCCGCTACTTCCCTCGTCTTCTCCGTTACATTGTTAAATCGTGCCAACAGGTTTGCTGCATATTGTCCGTTGGACTGATACGGCTGTTTCTTCTCTCGGAACATCTGTAAGATGTCTTCTTCTGGGGCCCAACGGCCCCCTCCAAATGCCTTCTTCAGCCTGTCCT